AATTATATAAATAATTTGGAAATCTTATTATATTTAAAAAATTATTATTAGTTATATTGTAATAATTATTACTTGTATTATAAAGCTTAATTTAAGATTTATTGCAAATTATTACTATATTTTAAATATAAATTTTAAAAAATTTTATATAGTACTTTTTAGTAAAAATTTTGAATATAAAAAAATTTTTATAAAATTTTAAAAAATACTTAGAGTTACTAAACTTTAGATGTAAGTTGCCCCATATATAGAATACTTTATTCAAATATTTAATAGCTTATTAATTTGTTAAATTAGTAGATAAATAGCTTTAAAGTGTGTCACAATGTAGTACAGTGTACTACAAGTAGTATGGGTTGCTCCTACCCATTAATAAAAATTACATATTAAAAAAGTACATAGCAATATTTTTATGGATGTTAAGAACTTTAAAAAAAAAAAGAAAAAATAAAAATCTTAACGGTTATTTTAGATCAGCACTGCTAGGCGTTGGAATAAAATTTGAATCTTGATGTTTTTTATATACACGATATCCAACAAAAGAAAGGATTGCACCAATTACAATACCACCTACAGCAATACCAATATAAATCCCAACATTAGATGAAGATGATTGTTCTGGAGAAGAAGTTGGTTGAGCGGGAGTGGTACTAGGAGGAGCCTTGGATGAAACTGGAGATGAAGCTGGAGCAGCCGTAGCAGTTGGAAGAGCTGAAGGAGCTGCTGGAGCTTTTGGAGCAGCCGTAGCAGTTGGAAGAGCTGAAGGAGCTGCTGGAGCTTTTGGAGCTGCTGGAGCGGCGGCACCAGAAGTAGCTGGAGCTGGAGCAGTAGAGTTACTAGTAGTACCTCCGGGTGTGAAGACTGTGAAAGTTCCAGTATCTTTATTACCAGAACCGTCGTTGAGAGCAAGGTAATAAGTGCCCGCGGGAACATTGACTGTCCATTGGAAAGATTGAGTACTGAGAGTTATGGTACTGCTAATTATGACTGTGTTTTGGGTTGTGCTATCGACAATACTTAAAATGCCTTGAATTGGATTCGTTTGTGGAGTATATACCCAGGTGATAGTAATAGTAGCACCAATTGCAACGGGACCTGCAGGCGTGTTAATTGTTGAAACCTCTAAAAAATGCAGGTAAAATGTTAAAATTATTTGATATATCTAATTTTGAATTAATTGTCCGCTTTTTATGCCCTCTAGAATGTTATTTTAGTTATCCAGCTTTTTTCGTTTAGGATTACTTATACGGAATTTTCTGCAGAATTAATGTTAAAAAGCGGATAAGTAAATAACATCCTTTATTTTGCCTATAATGATAATGTTGATACACCAAATTCGATTAAGCAAAAAGAAAATTTGCTAACTTACGAGCTGAAGCAGACCAAATGAAAGCAAATAATAGCATAAAAAAATAAATTAGCCGTGACATTTTTATTGATGTTTATTCTTTTAGTCTTAGTAATTTTTTCCTATTATAAATGATTTAAAAGGGAGCTTTTTATTTTTGAGAGTAGGCCAACGGATATTTTTATAGTAAAAATTATTGTAACCATAAATAATAACTGTATTCGATGTCACATATTTCAATAGCACAAAAAAGTTATTCAATCTGTTTCTAAAGTGATAAAAAAACAGTTGCAATTTTTAGTTTATAAATATTTTAAAATTTTGGGATTTACTTTTTAGAATATAAAAAATAGGTGATTTTGTTTTGCTTAATTTTTTTTTTTTTTTATCCATTTGATATATTAAGCTTTTTTAGTTTAAAAAATATCGATATAAACTAATCATGGTTTCGTGTCATGTTGAAATTTCTGTACGTACGTACGTACGTACTTTGTTTCTTACTCCCATATTTGTCCAATCATTGTAGGTATTTAGTAAAGTACTACGGTACATATATATGTACGTACGAAAATTGAGCTAAATTTTGATAGCGATAGTACAAAGGCTTTTTTTGTATTTTAGTACTTCTTTTTTAAAAAAAAAAAACGACATTGTTCTTAAACACCGGATTCAATCCTTGAAAAATATTAAATCGTTAAATTATAAATTTACAAGTTCGATTCCTGATTTCTCTTATTCGATATTTTTTTTTCGATAGCTATCGTTATTTAATTGCAAGTAAATTCAAGCACATTTAATATTTATTTAATTGAGCGCAAAGATAACTAAACATATTTTTTATAAAAAAAACATTAAACTATCCAAAATTTATAAGCTCAAGCTTGCTTTTTAATTGCCGGTTTTGTAATTAGATAGCCTCATCATCAGCAGTTTTTTTCTAATTTTAATTTGGTAAATTTTTTCAATTCAATATCTAACAATAAATCATTTTTATTATTTTATACTATATATATGATGATTTGTAACGTTAAATGTTGATTCAATTTCTGCCACTTCAATTGCACCTTGAAAACTAGTTTCACGACATATTGTTGGTAATAGAAATCTTTCTTTCGTATACATTAGCATTAGTGGATTTACGTCTTGTTGCTAAATAAAAAAAAAAAAATTGATATACTGTATATCTTTTATCTAAAAAAGAATTTTAAAACAAATATTTACATTTTCTATTTAATGTTAATGCAATTTGTTGCCGTTTAATCTCACTTTTATCATTTGTATGTAACACTCCCGAGTTTGTTTAATTTTAAACAAACATTCATTATATATCAATTGATTCCTCTACTAATTATTCGGTTTTGGTTCCTGATAATAAATTTATATTTGATCAAATTAAAATTCTTCGATATAGAATATATTTTTCATGTCTGTAGTAATCGAATAAAAAGTTGAATGGCTACCATAAAGAAAGATATTGACAAATAAAGTCAAAATTTTGAGTGTGATCATACCTGTCGGTAAAGCCTGGAAAATCCCAAATTCCAAAAAAAAATCAATTCTATTTATAAAAGATTAAATCAACAAGTAATCTTAATATTTTGCAAATATATTATCATTAAAATATACACTATTTGTTTAAACAATGATTATTAATAAAGTTTTGAGATATTAATTTGGGATGAATTTGGATTTGGGTGCGGACAAATTCAAGGGATTTGGGTGACAAGTATAGGTGTGAACAATTATTGTTTGATGAATAGGAATTAATCGTATACGTACGTACAGTACGTGCATATTTTAACCAACCCTTGTTCGTCACACAGATGATTGATCACACCCTCAAATATTCAAGTCAAATATTTGAATTGAAATATCGATCATACATTAAATATGCAATCGTATGTACGTCCGAGTATAATTTTTCTTTAATGTTCGTACGTACATACTAATTTATCCCAGCAATCGCAGGCGAATTTGCAGGTACGCGGATTCCCAATCATATTAGTCAAATATCACGAGTTTGACCCCAATTAACTAAAAGTCCGATGCGGATTAAGTTCTGACGGTTATCTTCGACATTTAAACTATGTTGAGCATAGAGATGTGCATCTCGTGCGAAATGCTGATGTCATTCAATTGATTCTCGCGCGAGATAATATAAATAATTTATTACTCTAATTGAGCATCTTTAAATGTTATGTGGTTTCTGAAGGCCCCAAAAAGTAAGCGAAGAATTCAAAGAGCACAAAGTCTACGCATTGCCGAAAATGACATTGGCAGAAAGCCCTCGAATGTGTGATTCAGTTTGCTTATGACACTATATACCTTTAAAATTGCAATTTACATATGATCTGTCCAGAAAAATGCATTTGTCAAAAAAGTTGCAGACAAAATTTGCCTGTAAGACGGTGTAAGGGATACTTCCGTACTGTACTAATTTTACTATATGAGTGCCGTCAAAGGAAAACCTACAATCGGGCTTTCAAATATATTTAGTGTACAGTTGGTTATCTGTGTGCCGTCTATGATAACTCTATCGTCGGACATAGATTTACCATAGACGGCACACCTGTACACAAAATATACTTGAAAACCAGATTGTAGGGTTTCCTTTGACGGCACTCATATACCCTTTACTATGTAACCACCAGTGTTGGCATTTGGACTAATTAAAATAGTCATTTTTCAATTGGACATGTACATTTGGACTATGTCTAAATTTTTCAAAAATATTCCAAATGTCAACACTGATTATGGTTCCGTGTCATGTTGAAATTTCTGTACGTACGTACTTTGTTTCTTACTCCCAATTATTGTTGCTACTTACCTACGTATCAGGTATATACCTTACTTATTTTTCGTAACGTAGCGGTGGATCCTTAGTGTACATGCAAATTGATACAAAAATTACGTTTTTGATGCATTTCGACCAAAAATAGTGACTTTGTTGATGCATCTCTTCCTAAATTTCCCGAAGTTCACTAAGTCTGCAAGCTGCATAATAAACATTATGAAGATCATATCAAAAACGTAATTTGTAAATTTTTTGTCTACACGCGTTTTGTAAAGGTGGCAACTGCTCCAGAATCAGGAAATGTATGACACGAAGATATAAACACGCACTAATGCTATCTAAAACGCTATGATAAATTAAACCCTATCTAAACCTTAATAGCGGCAGGTTACGATTGAGGCGTGGTGAGATTTGGTCTGAGTAATTAGGGTGTTAAATTTTACGTCACGAGGGAATCACGAGACTAAGCTACTAATTCTCGTACGAATTTGATTAATCGGGGATTAGTAGGGATTCGCTTTCTCAGTGTCGAACTCCTAACTGAATTCTAAACTTTAAGTCTCATTTTATTGTAGCGAAAAAGTATTGCTTTATACTTTTTCTTACATTGTTATGACGTAAGTGGAACTAATTCGCTAAAACTAACTAATCCACCAAAATAGATAAATACCAAGTTCAAAAGGTTCAGATAGTACAAAAGTTCAAAAAGCACAGAAAGTTCAAAAAGTACAAAAAGTACAGAAAGTTCAAAAAGTACGATAAACGCGCCACATCCACCAGATTCTCTAAATTCAATATGCATATGTGTGAAAAAATTCGTGTCCAGCCACAATATACCAAAAAATTACACATTCATGCATTTGAGCAATGAGATGATATACTCTGGACACATAATGCTACGCATTTTACTAGTGATGATAAGATGGTGTGTGTATTGTGTCTCACGATGCGGATCAATGACAAGGAAGTGTTCAATGAGATCTCATACAATCCATAATAATATGTATATAAGTGCATGCTCTCATCCTTAGTTTGCTAAATTTGTTTTTTATTTTTTATATTGGTATGTGCATCCTCATAATTGACTGGTAAATTATAAAATACAAGTTTCATGCCTGTTAACTGATATCATCCATTGAAACTAAACTATTTGCAACAACAGGGGAAACGTTGAAACGTCACAAAATTGTTACACAATTGATAAAAAATTTTTTTATATTATTTTACAATACTTTTTT